CGTTCGTGATTTAATCAATAAAATAAATTGCACATTTTGGGTAGAATTTATTCGGCAAAATTTTGGGACGACTTCATCATTTTTTGGGAGTTGATAAACAGACATATTTTATCATATTTAATTTCTTCGTGCTCTAGGGGTCACGAAAAGTCGAGTAAACGTAAAAGTAAAGAGTCGGCCGATGGATTATTTAACACCAAACCAGAAAGTACGTCAAGTCACTTGCCTATACAAGGTCGCTAGAATGTATGGAAACTGTTAAATTGAGAACCAATTGTATAATTAAGTGAAACTAGGTTTAGTGATACAAGAAGTTGTGCTTTAACTATTCGTCAAAAATTTTTTTTTGATTCATTTGTTTTCGAGATGCAAGGCCAACTTGATTTTTCTTTAATGGGACTACCATATAATTAATGCATTTTTGAATAAAGCTGCTTTTTCTGAATTCATTGATGTAGCACAATCATACTTTCTTTCTGATTGAAATGGCAAAATAAATTATGAAACAATAATTAAATAAATTAACCAACAACAACCGAAACCAAAATTAAACTTCTGTTTTCTACAAAAGATGCTCAAAATGCTCTCCATTTACTTTCTGGCAGTAAAAAAGACCCTGAATAAAATTTCGTAGTGAGTTAATGAGAATTTCTGGACGAATGCTAGCAATTCGTTACGTATGCGTTCCTGAAAGTCTACAGTATAAATCGGTCGACTGATATAAACGCGATTCTTGAAATAGCCCCACAAAAAAAAGTCAAGTGGTGTCAAGTCCGGTGACCTAGCAGGACACTCAATTTTCGCCTTGTCCATCTGCCAGGAAGAGTTTCATTTAAGTACTGTCGCACTTGACGTTCAAAATGGGATAGAGCACCGTCTTGTTGAAACCAAATGTGTAGTTTCTGCTGGTAACTCCGGATTTTGGTAATTGAAAAAAAATTCTTTAAGTCTAGGCACTATACGTTCGCAACAACCTTAAGTACCTCTCAGAATTTAAATTTCCATTAATAAAAAAAAAACAATTACATGGTAATCAGTAATACTGCATCACACATTCAGTTTTTCTGGACGCTCCATCCACTATAGATTTGTGTCAAATTAGTACCTGCATGACCATTTAAACAAAACGTAGATTAATCAGAAAACAAAATCTTGTCGATAAAATTTCTGTTCAAAATAATTTCGGTAAATTCAACTCTACGATCAAAATCATTTTCCTTTAGCTCTTGTACCAAATGGATTTTGTATGGATGAAACTTTTCCTTTTTCATTAGTAGAGAGCGGATTTCTAGGTTTAATGCTTCTTGTGGAAAATGTAAGCACTTCAAAACTTTTTTATATCTGTAACTATGATACAATTTGGAGTCATTTGACACATTTTTTTATGCTTATTTGCTTTTTTTTCAATTTTATGCATAGTAAAACTTATATGCTTATTTAATGCTTTTTTCGACGAATATGAGTTTTAATGCATATTTTGTTCAAATGCCGGCCTTGTCGGGATGACAAATACTTGTTAGTTAGCCGTATCGTATCGTATGCATTTTACCTGGACTTGACCATTGAAGTACACTTACTCAAGACCCTTTCTGTGAATAGGTTCCGGTCGTTTGGGTAATAAAATTTTATTATAGGATTGGAAAAATACTCCATACATTTTATGACTTTAAATCCTTACTTCCGTTGATAATGAATTAAAGCTTCTAACCAGATGTTCTTTTTCGGCATTTTGCGGCAAGACCGTTGAAGATTTTCTAGAAAAAAGGATTATTGTACCCAACTACCTACTTTAAAATTTTTCTAATGGAAACTTTTAAGTAAATGAACCGTTTATTTCACAACCATCAGTCTATCGCATCTGTCGTAGTACAGTGTTATACGTGGTTCTCCCTTGTTACATGTTGAGTTCTTTTTGGTAATATTACTAATATTTTAAAAGAATGCCGAAAATAAAATCGACGCCGGATGAGTGGATACGGGATTTTCCAGAATTAACATTAGAAAACAACAAAATATTCTGCAGAGCTTGTGTGAAAACCATAAGCCCACTAATTTTTTTTTTATCTATTTTCCTTTGTTAATCCTGTATATGTACGTTGTTTTAGATTCAAAGTGATAAAAAATATAACGTGACGCAACATGTCAGAACGACTCTTCATGTAGAAAGGAAGAAAATGTTTGAAGTTTCTAAAATTAAACAGCAGACCATACATGAATCTGTTGCATCTACTTCCACAAACGATGAGCAGTTTCAGTTTAATTTCGATTTATGTAAAATGATGATCCAGTCCAATTTACCTTTAAAAAAATTGGAGAAAGGCCCTCTTCGAGAATTCCGTGAAAAACACTGAAAACGACATATTCCGGTTGAAAGTACTCTCCGAAAAAAATTATGTAGGCCCAGTGTTTCAGCAAGTTTACAACGAAATTAAACATCGCATTGGAGACAATTATTTATGGTTCAGTGTCGATAAAACAACCGATAGTTGTGGAAGATACGTGGCAAGTTTAATTGTTGGAATCTTAAATGAAAATTTCCCTAGTCGAGGGTATGTAGTAAGTTTGAAAATGTTAGATAAAACAAATGGCAATACGATTACCAGATTTGTAAATGACAGTCTTACGTCACTATTTTTGCCAAATGCCGTACCGGCGAATAAAATTTTATTGATGATCTCGGATGCAGCCCGTTATATGTTGAAAGCAGGGAATAATCTAAAAATATTGTACCCCAATTTAATTCACTCTACTTGCATTGCCGACGGTTTAAACAGAGTGGCTGAAGGAATACGTTTGCAGTTTCCTACTGTTAATAAATTAGTGGCAAATGGTAAAAAGATTTTTGTTAAAGCCCCATTAAGTGTGCAACATTTTAAGGAAAAATTTCTAAACATACCATTACCCCCAGAGCCGATTATAACGAGCTGGGGAACATGGTTACAGGCCACATTTTATTATGACAAATAAATATATCAAAGAATTTGAGGAAGTAGTTACGGAGTTTAGCGCAGATTCTTCTCAATCGATTAAAGATTGCATAAATATTTTGGAAAACAAAGATTTGCGACAAGATCTAGCTTTTCTAAGAAGCAATTATCAATTCGTATGGGAGGTAATAGAAAAGTTAGAAAAACCCAACATGTTGTTGGTAGATGCCATAAACTTAGTGAAAGAATTTAAACAACAAGCAAACGCAGTAAGGGGTGATATTGGTACTAGAGTATCTCAAAAACTTGACGAAGTGTTAAATAAAAATGCAGGTTTCGGTGTTCTTTCCGACGTTGCTCGTGTTTTACAAGGCCAGAAGGTGGAAAATTTGTAGTTAGATTCAACATTAGTTACAAAATTCAAATTTGCGCCAACAACGAGTGTGGATGTTGAACGCACATTCTTCAATTTTAAACACATTTTAAATGATCGGCGAAAAAATTTTACAGTGGACAACTTGGAACATATTACAATCATAAATTGCTTTAAAGAAAACTGAAATACGTGTGTAAAATATAAAGTCTAGGATAATATTTTATCCAAAGTTCTAAGAAGTGTTGATAACTTTGATTTGTAATATGATTATGTTTTTAATGCTTTTTTGCTTAAAATAAAACTTTTTTAATGAAAGTGTTATGCTTATTTAATGCTTTTTTGCTTAAAATAAAACTTTTTTATTGAAAATGTTGTGCTTATTTAAGCGCTTATTCTTAATTTTTTTGTGATTATAAATCCGCTCTCTATTCCTTAGTGTTTCAATTGATTTTCTACTAACATTGTGATTCAGCGCTAATTGTTGCACTGACGTTTTGGGTTTTTCTGTTGCATCTAAGACAACATTAAGGGCATTTTCATCATTTGTAGCAGTTTTTGGCCTGCCAGGTTTAGACATTCTTTCACATTTCCAGTTTCATTAAATCTTCGTAGGGTTTTTGAAACCGTCGACTTAGAAATGGGTTCTCGCTCAGGATGAATTTCATTAAAAAATGTTACTACTTGAGAAAAACTTCAAAATGTCAAATTGAAATTATTTTCAAAGACAACGATGACATACTTCTTTCTTATTACTTATTCTTATTTAAAATAATTTATTTTGCCATTTCAGTCAGAAAGAAAGTATGATTGTGCTACATCAATGAATTCAGAAAAAAAGCCGTATACAAAACTGTATTAATTATATAGTACTGCTATTTAAAAAAAAGTCAGTTTGGCCTTGCATCTCGAAAACAAATGAAGCAAAAAAAAATTTTTTTCAAGAATAATTAGAGCGCAACTTCTTGTACCCCTTGGCCTAATTTCAGTTGATTTGTACAATTGGTTCTCAAGATATTCTCTACCGTTTCCATACATTCTAGCGACCCTGCATGAATGCGATAAGGCAGGTTATCTAAAGTGTTAAAAACAACATCTACTTATGTTTAAAAAATAAGTAAAATTCATTAAAAATTCAAGTTAAATTTGCAAATGTCTTTGGCGCAATGTAGATTTTAAAAACATTTAGAATGGTTTATAGAAACAAGAAAGGTTACGTTACGTAATAATCAAGTACTGTTAACATCATAGTTAGTTGCCTACATTAACCGCATTTACTGGCAGGACTTACTCGATTTAAACCCTGTTCACTTGTTTGCGCCATTTTATTATACCATTTATTTCAATTAATTTAACAGTGACTGGAAATTTAGATAATTCTTTCTTTAAATTATTGTACAATCTGAAATAATAAAAAACATTTTGATAAAAAAAGTATTGGGCTGGGTTGTTGAAAAATATCAACTTGTCACACTTAATAAAGTATTAATTACTTTGAAACCGAAAATTAAAAAATAAAAAGAAAATACGTAGACGCCACTGACTAAGACCTAAAGCTCCCAAAGTTTGGCTATTACAACCTAAATGGAAACAATTATTAAAACTTTCCTCCGTGTTGTCTGAAAATTAAGATTTTCATTTGGCAAACTTCCAGATTCTCTTTAAAAGCTCCCTTTGTTTACGAAAATCTTCTTTTGCAGATCAATCCAATATAGCTGCTCCTCCATCGTCTCCTGTCACGTCTTTCACCTCCGCCCAAAATCCGCCTTTAATTACCGCAGTGCTCTCAAGGTTCGCAATTCAATTACATTTCTGTGCGCCACTTATAATGAGCCCTTTTAGGTAATTCGATCGAAATGTACGAGCCCGTGACTGACCGCTGTGTTACCACAATCATTAGTCCAAAATACGCAAACCACCACTCTTTCGATGAAGACTTCAAAAGCAATGACTTGGTGCCGCCGGAGAAACCACCGAGGAAAAATAAAATGAACAAGCAATGCAAGCAAGAGTCCAATGAGGGTGAGTTTTTTACATTGACCTTAAAACGCAGGTGCGTTACCATAAAAACGATGATGTTATAAATTTTTCGCCGGTCAATAATTTTTTTCGGTCATTGTTTTCTTCATGAATTATTCAGGAAGCACGATATCTTGTTATCTACTATTGTTTTTGTCGGTTCAGCTTTAGGACGCGTATTTTCGATCGGTTGTTTGGTTCCGGGGAACGGTATCTGTTTACTCAGAAAATTAATATTTATTTTTTGCATCGAGTTGTTCAGTCGTAAATCGTGTTTCTGCGCAAAATTTAAGTCAACATAACATTGCTCCAAAAGTTGAAAGTAAAAATATAAATTCTTTACGTAAAATATACGTCAAAATGAAACTAGTGTTTCTGAATGTTAATAAAAAATTTAGTTGTCAAGTATTTATATACAATTAGGAGTATTAAATATAAATCATTCGGATTTTACCTACTTTGTTACAAGTTTAATCCTATTTTTGACGTCTGTCGTACAAATCTTGCGATTAAAATTTGTTCGAATTACGCAAACCCATTTATTAGTGCCGTCTGACTTACCAGTTTTCCCCAAACAGTAACAGAGGACGAAACTTTATAAAATACGAGTCCCTGTTCACACTTCTAATTTATAATTAAACTTTAGTACTACAATTATATCAAGTCACGTCGTAAATATTTTTTTTGTGACCTAGTCGTCTGATACACTTAAAGCAGTATCTCTGCTTGCGACATTGTGATAAAGTTAACCCAAACATTAAAATACTTAATTATAATAAATGTGCCTAAGATGTTTTCATTATTATTGTAGACTGTAATCTATTATACTTCCTGGTTTCTGTAAGTTCTTTTTAATTTTTCACCACATACATAAATATATATTTTCAACAAATATGTTAAATAAATCGTTATTGAAGAATACACTCTAACATGCAAGAGGTATTGATTGTACTTTCGAAGTGAGGGCGTTTCTGTGTAGGTAACTGCATTTCTTTTAATCCACAAAATACTTTTTTAAACAACAAAACATTGGTCGAATCAAATAAATTCACTTTTTGTAAAAAAAAATTGAAATAAAGAGGGGATCGATGTAATTTTATAAAATTTAAACAGCATTTACAACACAAAATTTGGCGATAACGTCATCATCGTGGGAATGATTAGACAAATTCTGGTTAACGTTTTACCATCTACACGACCTACAAGATTTGCGAAAAATCAGTCTACTAATTTCGGAGATTATTTATTTAAGACACACAAATGGAAACAGAAGACCTATTGTTTCATTCTGTAGAGGTTATGAAACGTCAAGAAAACATGAAAATAGCTGTTCGAAGTGTAGACTTTATTACCCCATTTAGTTTGAATGTACTGAAAGAAGTCTTATCACTAACACGCAATTTTTAGTTTATAATTACCAATTAGCGGTCAGTAAGCGTCGGTTTTGTAATTTTAGTTATCATACAAAATGTTATACAAACGTTATTCATAATATTTTTGGAATTAATAACTTGTAATGTGCATTGATAAAATTAGTGAATTGTATTTCCACGAAAATAACTGTGTAGTAATAATCATTATTAAAAATTTATTATTATTATTTATTCAACGAATTTAGAATCTAGTTTGTTATCTAATATTTTACTAAAACAGTTGGTCTAAGGTGGTTGTTCAATTTGTATTTTTTGCTTGTTCTATGAAACTTAAATATCATTTACCATGCAAAATTTTGAAGCGACGTCGGCAAATTACTGATGGTGATGATCAGAAAAATGTTGATTAGGGTTTTGCCATCAACATGCCTATTCAAAAAATGCATGTGAAATTTTAGAACGATTAGTAGTAATTTTGAAGTATATTTGTATAATATTTAATATCGACACAGACCACAGGACAGACAGACAAAAACGGGATCTAGGAGCCGCGAAACGTTGAGAAATCCGGAATGTAGTTCGACGAACGAACCCTATTACAGCTTACGCTCGGAAGGAAAAATAATTTTATCTTTTCAGCTTCATACAACTGTATAAAAAACCTTGGCTACTGTTCACAGAAATTTGAGAATTCGAATTTAAGTTTTTGTCGACTAATATTCAATAAAAACCATTTCTGATTCGAGCAACATATATAGGAACATTTTGACAATTGAATAATTGAATTGAAATAATTTAGCTGACTTTTTTCGATTCGATTAACTTAATTTTTTTTTAACAAACAAAAAAGCAATCTCTTATTTTAGAAACTATTAGACATAAATTCCTTCGCCCCTGAAGCACAATCAAACAAATTTAATAATAAAAAAATAGAAAATAAGAAAAAAGTGTCCCATGAGAGAATCCAACCCACGACATTCCTCCTATATTACCATAAAACGTTATTACACAATTTTGATTTTTTTGCAAACATTTGCATCAATAAAATAAAATCTCAAAACGAATTCATAAACCACAAGTTCAAGAATATGATATTTTATAAAATTTAAATAGCCTTTACTATGCCAAATTTTGAGATGACGTCTTTAATTTTGGGGGGGGGGGGGATGATCAGACCAGTTTTGTTCGCGTTTTACCTTCAACAATCTTGTTTTATTATTCTTAAAATATGCATAAAAATTGACCTAACTCCAGTAGTTTTGGAGGTTCTTTGTCTCATAAATATCGACACAAACAACAGACCACATTGTCCAGGGGTTATGAAACGTTGAAAAAACCTGAAAGTAGACGTCCAACAAATGAACCCTATTCTATCTTACGCTGTGAAAGTAAAAATAATTTATCTTTTCAGCTTTATTCTTCAAAAGCTGAATGTAATTTTCATGAGAAAATATTTTATAACATAATTTTATGTATCTTGTAAGAGCACATTTTCAGACAAAAATTCTATAAAAAGAATATTTTTACAGAACATCAAAACCGACGGATCATGTGAACGGAATGCACACTTCAAATGGTTAAGATTTTCAACAACAAAAATAATATCATAACATGTCAGTATGTCGTAGAATAATTCTTTGTCAATAAATGTACCAGTGATTTGAAACCAAATCAGAGGCTTCTTCTTTTTTACATTTAAATGTAACACACGAATAACATAATTCGTGTTAGTAGTTATCTGTGTTTCAAAAACGTATGTCGGTACTTTTTGAATTCTTAATCTGTTTCTCTCTAACTGTCAAAAATTTGGGTTTAAACGTCAAGACATTTTATTGATTTTTCACAATCGTATCGATCAAGTGTAGACTCAAAATTTTGTTTTCAGAACCTTCTACGATCACCAGTTATGTTCCTCACCCTCTATACAGGGTTATTCACGAGAAATCTCACCTAAAAAATCCAAGACACAATCAACAATACAATTGCATAGCAGTTTTGGATATTTACTAAATTATATATTTTAAGTAAAACATAGGTAGGTCAAAAATGAAGCAAAGTTGTATTTTTCATCATATCAGTCTTTTCATCGTTTGAATACTTGTCGAAATGTCAATTTTACGATTGTAGTGTTACGCCAATGTTTTTACAACAAAACAGATCTTTTACTTTTTTTAAAATGGTATGAAATATCAAAGATAGTTTTGAAATTGTATTTCTGGTTGCATCTTGAATTTTGTAGGTGCGAAGCTTCTTGTGAATAACCTGTATAAGTATGATCATATGTTTACAGAGTGGGTTCTAAGCGCAAGGTCCTCGATATCTCATTATGTTATTATTATTTATTAGAGATGGAAAAAATCAGAGAGTGGAATTATACCGTTCTTTTAATAGCATACACTAAAATTATTTTCGACTATACAGAGTGTTTTGTTTTCAAGGCCTGGCACACAACTTAGTTGTTTTAAACAGAGTACACGTTTTATATAGTCTTATTAGCTTCTACAACCATAATTTATTAAAAAAAAAATAACTTTTCCATTTTCAAATTCAATACCCTGTATTTTATTACTGCATCTTACACTATGTTTTGTTGCCTTTCTTTCAATATGTCAATGTGTCTTACTTTAAATATAGAAAATAAACAGCACAAAGCTCAGAACAGAGGGTGTTCTATTTAAAAAAACTGAAATATCGATTGTTGAAAATTATTATAATAAATTAATATCATTAATTAATTTTTTATAAACAATCTGCATATTAATATTCAGTTTTATTTATACCACAATAAAGCGTATATCTTTAATTATATATCACAATATATTGAATTCCAAATTTTAGAAGTAACCTTATTGTCATTTTTTGGTGAACCCTAAGAAGACGTCAGCAGTCCATTTGAAAAAACTAAACTGTGTTGTGTCATAAAAACACATAAAAACAAACTACTCTGTATAGTTGAAAACAATTTTGGTGTATGGTACTCAAACAACTGTACAACTTTCATCTTAAACTCACCCTGTATATTACCGAAAGAGTAATAAAAAAACACGGTTAAAGATTTGTCTTTAATAGAATTTTCGTCTTGTCAGAATGGCGTCGATTTGAAACTTTGACATAAAAATGCAACAATCAAAGATAAATCTTCAAAAATCGGTAATAAGATATTGTCTAATTCATTTAGGCTAGAGAAATGCAATGGGTCCATTTAACAAGCGACAATTTATTTTTTTCTGAACATTTTCTAGCTCCTAGAATATAAAAAAGTAAGCCTCCCGTTTCCGTCTGTCTGTCGACCATCTGTCGTCTGATTGTTGTGAAATTTAAAAGGTATGGTAGTCCAGAAGCTATAAGGTTATATGGCCGTTATAAACTTATCCCATTGTGTGGAATTTAAGTTGTTTACAATAGAAAAGGTTTTGGGGTAGTAAATAACGTGTCCACTACAACTCGACCGGCTATTGGTGTTTCGTTCAGGGGCGGCTCTCACTAAATATCTAAATTACTATCTACTTTATTTTAGGAATATAGATATGCAGAAAGCAAAACGGCCACCAACATTTGTGTGTTCATCTCCACCAAAAATATGATGATGTCATCACAGAAATATTCAAAATAATATGTTTTATGTTTGTGGTTTATTAATCCAGAATTTCACATTTGTCTTAAAAACCACAAAAGCGATTGCTTTGAAATTTTGTGGCCACACAAGGTTATCGTGTTCATCCCTTCTAAAATCCTAATGACGTCATCACAAAATATTGTTAAAAAAAATCTCACTTGTAGGAATAGCTACAAAAACTGAAAGTATAAAACAGAATCAAATTTTATAGTAGTTTATCTAAGATTACCAATTTTACACTAATTTTATGAAGTATATCCCAACAATCTCTAATTAAATAAGCAATAAGAAGATAAACAGAATAAAAATAATTTCAAAGCAGGATTATTTGGACTACAAGGCTAGCTTCCACGGATATAAAATAGTGACGTTAAACTAAAAATTAATTTTTTGATATTTTTAAAAATCCATAAATTGTGAAATTTATATTACCGACAAAATTAAATCATTTTATGCGATGATGTAAACGCTATACAATACACAAACATAATCATATCGACACAAAAAAGAAATATCAGATGGTCAATTAAAACAACATTGTGACGCAAAATCATCAAAAGAATTATGATCGATAATAAACCAGTGTATTGTTTTCATTTTAGTTATATACCTCGGTATCACTAAACAAGTATCAAGTTAATTCACACAGTGTGTACTGTACGCAAGCGTGTTAAAATTAATTTATGGTCCGCTTTCGCAATAAGCTCACGTTAAAAATGATGATGGTTGGTGAAAATTCAGTGGACGCGAAAGAATCATTTCCCACGCACACGCAACCGAAACGATGCTCCTAGCAAAGTCAGTCCTAAAAAAGGTAACAATCGCGACAAAACGGTCACATTAGAGCCACAGAATTACAACCCTGACCTTCACCCAACCCACTAACGCATTCTGTTCCAGAAACAAAAAGTTGTAATAATAAGATGAAAACCGGAAATGGCGACACATGCATCGACATAGACCACGTCAATCTGGAAGCTAACAATTACAAGAACAAATATACCAACGCCTCCGTCCAGACTTCCCCCCTCATTCCGTATAGACTCAGGTTTTGGCCCAGGAGCACATGTGACCTCAAGTGTGACCCGAATGAAAGCAGTTGCTGCACGAAGGTGCGACTCACGTGCTGCTGCAGGATCCTCAGCCAGTGGGTTTTGTCCCAGGTTGGGCTCACCATGGTTGTGATCTCCTGGGCCTTATTGGGAGCCTACGCATTCTACAAAACCGAAGGTGAGTTTTCGCCAAATTATTTAAATTAGGTTATTGTTACTTTTTTTTTCGGTGCTTGTTGACAGTTATTACGGAACTGTCAACGTTTCGGCTATTTATTTCAGGCTTCATCAAGTCTGTATTTACGTTTTCCAAAGTACTTTTTTACTTCTGGGTAAAAACTATTTCGTAGAAAACGAAAATGTAAGGGTCCTGTTTCCGTCCGATCGTATTTGGTAATTTAATTAATGAGGTGTACACGGGAATTAACTTAAGTGTATTTTATGATTATCGTGAAAATGGTAATAACTTAACCAAAACTTATCTATTAGCTGTTAATTATATTTAACGTTCTTATTTGATGTCACTTGAAGTGTGAAAACTGACGTGCTCCTATATTTGTGGTTGAATAAATCTGTCCCTATCATATAATTTGCGAACACAGTTTATCCTAAAAAATGGATAGTGTTTTAATTATTAAGTAAGTATGCAAGATATTTTGAACTAAGTCTTGAAAATGAGACCAACTGAATCAAAAAGACTAAGAAGTTCGTTTATAAAAATAATAAAATACAACAGACCCAGAGTCGATCCTTGTAGGACCCAAACTTCCAATCTGAAAAGTTTATGACCGATTACTACGAGTTGTAATGTGCCAATTAATTTATTTTTAGGGAATTATTATCCCTTACTTTATTTCGTATATGCTCCAATTTTTCCTTTTTGCTTATAAGACACCACAAAAATGATAAAACCCTAGACGAAAATTTTTAATATTCAAATCAAAACTTAGACACAAAGGATCAGAACTTGTTGATTCATTTCTAGCAAAGCTGTGTTGTGATTGATATTTTAACGACGTAAAAGGTTTAATAATAGGTCGTACAAAAAATGGCTTCAAATTTATTTCAGTCTAACATTGAATCAGTATCGAGCTGTAATTATTACATTAATACTAATGTATTAATTACCAGGGTTTTGCTTTGAAACTTTGTGAGAGTCGACGGACTAGACTTCATTGGAACTTCTAGTTAACCGAGAATTATGTTTGTTCTATGTATTGTTTAGGATCGTGCTGTTAAAAAAGTGATTTGGAGAGACTATGATCACAGTTAAGTGGAATTTATAAACTTGCTGTTCCCGCTGACGTTGCTTTTAGAGCTGAAAATTGTCATTTATAAACTCCGTTGCCAAGTTGCCGTTGATAATAACTTTAATGTTCAACTTTGGCCGTATTTAAAGAGGTTGTAGAAGAAAAGTGGAGGATTTCAGTTGATTACTACAAAAATTTACCATTTTAGACATGTTTTAAGTTTCTTGTTGTCGAAATAAGTCCACACATATTAAAAAAAATAGGCAAAATGTAGCCCCGCCCACCCGCCCTATCTCAATTGTAATGATTTTTTTATTCATCGTGAGCCAAGAAGGCGGAGCTTAACTGCAAAATCCTTATTTCCCTACGAGAAATTAAAAACATGTTTTTGACTAACGTATTGTTCAAAGAATACTATGTATAATAAAAAATAAAGCCAAAGATTAAGCCCCACCCATACCCGCCCCGATCTCAATTGTGATAAATTTTTCAATTTTTCATTCGTTGTCAGATCGAGGGGCGGGGCTTAATTCCACGATCCATTTTTGTCTACAAGAATTTACCATTTTAAATATGTTTTAAGTTTCTTGTTCTGAAAAGACGACTACGTATAATAAGAAAACAAGCAAAATATAAGCCCCGCCCACCCACCCTATCTCAAATGTGATGATTTTTTTTAATCGTCGAGAGCCAAAGGAGCAGAATTTAACTGCAAAATCCTTATTATTTTTAACTACACGAAATTACCATACATATAAGACATGCTTTTGAGTATCGTGTTATTAAAAAAATACTAAATATGTTAAGAAAAAATTAAAGCCAAAGATTAAGCCCCAGCCATTTTGCCCTTGATCTAAATAGTAGGTAATGAAGTTTTTATTCCTTTGCAGACCTAGGGGCGGAGCCTAATTGCAAAATCCATATTTCCTTGCAAAAATTTACCACTCTTAACGTGTTTTGAGTTTCTGAGAATAAAAAAAATCATCACAATTGAGATAGGGTGGGTGGACGGGGTTAATATTTTGCCTTTTTTTCTTAATATACATAGTATTCTTTGAACAACACGATACTCAAAAACATGTTGTTCATTTCTTGTAAAGAAATAAGTGTTTTGCAGTTAAGCTCCGCCTCCTTGATTCACGGCGAATAAAAAAGACCATCACAATTAAGACAGGGCGGGTGGGCGGGCTTACATTTTGCCGTCATCTCGAACGTCATCCCAACGGCGTGCCAACTTCCAATGGCAACGTCAACGGCGAACAGCAACGTCAACGGCAAGTTGATAAATCGACCTTTATACTAACACTAACGTATATGTCATGTAGATATATCAAATTTCGCCAGTATGACATCAAAAAACCAGAAATACCAACTGAAATTTTCCAAATATAGCTATCTCAATATCTTTTTTTTTTACAGTTCCTGAAAAATTAAGAAATTCCGTTTAATGCTGATATAAAAAATTAGTTTTATGATCCCTTTGAACTTTATATAATATCTACCTATAAAATGTTAAATTTCTATGCATATGAAGGTATGTTGGCGAAGAATCAAATAAATACTCAGTAAAACCTTGAAACGAAACCTCTCGACCAAACTTATACATATTGTTGTATAAGATTCGTATTGATTCGTATCTCTTTGTAATTTTATTCCGTTTTATACCACAAGACTTCATGGACTTTTAGGTGTACTTTCAGATAAATGATGAAGTGTAGGCACGTGAGACCAAACATCGATTTAGCGGAATCGCCTGAAGTGCTGTAGTGCGGTTGGATTCTTGGCAGAATTTCTGCATTGCGAAATCGGAGATTAACCATTAAACCATGTCACTGCATTTCGTGAGAACCCGTAACATCCAACTCCGCCGAATATCCACCACTTCATATTTGACTAAAGCTTTTTTAGGCTCCAAATTTAAAATAGAACGTATCAAGAAACCAATCTGATCAAGAATTTACCGTGCTTCGACGAAATTGTAATCGATTTGTTATTCTAAATAGTTACGCAAACAGTGTGGTTTTATACCATATGTAAACCTATCGGGAATTCTGATTCGATAGGCTAAGTAAAACACTACCACTCGATCATTTTTAGCTCTGATAGTTATAATCGTATAGGTTCATTTTTGTCATAATTTATTCCGGTCTCGCACTGCATAACATACAAGGGTACAGGATTGTAATCAAAACACTGTAATTAAAATTATTAATGACTCGTAAAGTTCGATTCGTGTAATCACGCATATCTATTCTCAGCTCTGAGTCTTGCCTATATTTAACAATTTCCTTGCTAATATCCGACCCGGTGTGTAAGTACCTTCAAAATTAAAATATTTAACTCGTAACATTAACAACGGTTATTACACGAACTGAAATTTTCTGCTTCGCAGTTCATTATTACCGTGTGCTCCATGGTCTGTCTCCCTAAACCAACTAAAATAAAATTACTGACGTGACAACTTGCAAATATTCCCTCATTTTAATTAAAATAGTGATGACGGAGAGATATTTTGAAAATGAGGATATTCATTTAATGGTAAATAGAAAAGGAAGAACAAGAAGATAAGTGTATTCTGTTTGTTTTACGTATATCCTTAATCCCATAGTTGCTCTAAGTAGGTTGAAATAGTCCAGCATGTTCGTGTTACTCTCCATTGACCCCAGGATGAATGGATAATAATGGTAAATTGTAAACCCGGCAGGAATCACGTGTGTCATTTGTTAATTACTAACTGCAAACACCACAAATTATATTGCTGAAACTAGAATACAAAAGTCTGAAAACTTCTGTTCAAACGAAAAATTAACGACCTAAAATAGACGGGGTAAAATATTTAATACAAATTTTAATATACCTACTATGTAATGAATTTTAGTATCACGTTAATTATAATAAAAAGTAAACTAAAACTTTTTTAATTTTAATAATTCAGGATAAACTAATTCGAAACTTTGCAAGAGGAAAAGGCTGAGTATTATGGTTCGTTCCATCAACTTTTGCTCTCGTAACCATGGATCAAAACTGCGTAAACACATTATACATGTTATTAATCACATCTGTGTGGTCGCCTTTTCAATTTTCAGCGAAAACTTTCCAATTATACATTAAAACCGAAAATCGAGCGAATAAACTTTTTGTTCATTCAACAAACTTGGCTTATGAACACACAATTTAATTAAACATTTCGCTGGGAGCAAATTACGTATTTAGTTGCAGCTTCCATTAGCCTCTTTAAAGGAGATGGAGTCCTAATAGTAATACTTAGAAAATGTCGAACTATAAAAGTTTTGTTTTCACAATGAAGCCACACAGATGGGTTGGTTACATCTTAGGAACTAACGACATTCATCATTTATTGAAAACTCAACTCTGATTGGCCAATTAGGTGTTAGCCGCCATTTAAAAGTTGCAGCAATTAAATATCGGGCCAATAGCATAAATTAATTGTAATCGAGTCATCCTTGGAAAAGATTTAGCATATCAGTGATTAAACCACACTCACTATGTCAAAAATTGACAAACATAAAAGCAAAAATGTCGTACGAGATTATTAATAAAATTAGTGTGAACTTGCTAAGAAAAATGGCATAGGAGTGAGATCACTAGATCGCTTCTCGGCCTTATGGCTAAGATCAAAGTGTAGATCTCAAGGGCCAGATATTCTCTGTATTTCGACTAATAATCCGGTTGTTATGGATGTTATAGGGGTCTGCTCGATTATCTACCTAACATTTCCAATATTTTCTGAGATACTCTTAACATTCAACCTGCCACTTCCCTGTTGTCGTTGTAGAGACGAGGCAAAAATGAGTATTATGGACAATGTTGTAGGGAAATTCTTCTGGAATTCATCCCAAGCCGTTTGAATCAAATATTCCCACACACCGTTTACTTTCTGATGTAAAAATTATTTCTAGAGGAAACAACAACAACCAAAAAAAACAAGAAAGGTAGGCTTGGAAGAGACATTAGATGTGACAGTCACAGCCAAATTGGTTAATAAATTGCCATAAAATTAAAACAAAGTTAAAAATTGGTCGAAAATTATTTCGACAGAACTTCGCTAGCCCCCAAAATATAGTACAACAAATTCCGCTACTTTGAAAAATTATAAAATTCGATTTTATGAAATTTTACTTCTTGGTCGACGTTGCTGGTAAAAAGTTATTATCTTTGTAATTTTTTTGGGAAAATTCGAATGCCTAGGGGAAAAACTCAAAGTGGATACATATACCACAAGTGTACGGTATATTACTATATAATATTTAAACTATTTTAATGTAGACGCTTTTGAGATGGCATTATGAAATTATTGGTTGAAATAGTTAGCCAAATTTTGGTTAGAGATTTACCATCTACATTCCTAATATACCTACAAAATTTGATAACAATCAATCCAGTAGTTTCAGAAATTATTTGTTTACTAAACATCGCCACAGACCACAGACGAAAACCGGAAACCACTTTTTTGGAACTCTAGGATCATGAAAAATCAAGAAAACATTAAAGTAGCGAGTCGTACGATGGATCCTAATACAATACTTCAGATTAATTTAAAACGATGTTATAGTTTTTGCTTTTTTGGATGTTTAGATTAATTTTAATAAATAATAGTGTTAAAACGAAGTGTTATAACTTAAGACATAATCGAGAGAAAAACAAATTTCTAGATTTTTAATGTTATGACAATCCTTTAACTGATAAACTGGTGACTAGATTGTACAAGAAACAAAGAAAAATGTTCACACAACATTTTTTCTTCACAAAAAAAATACAGTATTATGGCTGTTGGAACTATTTGATGAAGCGCTGAATTACATATTTAGTTATAACTATACAGCGGACGAAAAATAACGAATATGCAAATGGAAAAATAGCTACAAGCAGTTATCAAAGTTAGTTTCAAGTAAAAGGAAACTTAATGATAAGTACTTAGTGGCCACAATATAGTTAATATTAGTTAAAACGAACACACACACCCTGTTTTGTCTAAAAACTGTTACATTTCTGGTTCTTTTCAGTGGTTTAATATAATTAGCAGTTATAGTTAACCGAAAATATGAAAATGTCAAATATAAGGAAATTATAGATGGTCGAATATTCAAAATATACTACATAATCTCCCATTCTCTTTAAATTATAATTAACATATTCAGTAATTTGACATTTTTGAGTTAACTATCAAATTCAGCTTAACTGTTTTTTAGCAGCTAAGTGTAACTGATACTTATACTTCCAGTCTTTAACTACCTACTAAATCAATAACTAAATGCTCGACGAGAAATTGAGTTCATACTATTCATACTATTATAATTTTGTTATTGATTTTATCATGCATTAATTTAAAGTTATAACTATAATTGATAAATGAGCCATTAAAATCTATACAGAAGTTTAAACACGTCGAAATTTCTAAATTTCTAAACAGTGTCAATGCAATTTAATGAGAATAAAAAAAACAAAAAAATAGGACTTCAGCTTTGCAAAAGTGACATTTTTGGTACAAAGAGAAAGAATATCGGACAATTTAACTGCATACGCAAAAGCTCCAAGCAAAGTAGAATGTTAACTAATATTATTATTAGCTATAATAATGTTCAGTGGTAGTTACAATCAACTAAAAATAATAATGTTGATCATAGAAATATTTCCGAGTTAACCATCTAATTTAACATAATCGTTTTTGGCTGTAACTGTAATTATTATCATTGTTAGTAAATATACTTCAAGTTTTTAGCTACCTACTAAAGCAAAGTTACTATAATTTTGATGTTGATTTTATCACGTATTAATTACGATTTAGATAACTATAATTGATAAATGAGCAATAATTAAAGTCAGCACAAAAAATAATAAACACTTCGATAGATAAACATTAACGGCGAATTCTTAGATTTCTAAACAACGCCAATTCAATTTTATGAGAATACTTTCAACGTTTAGCTATAACTGATAAATTGGTAACTAGATTATACAGGACACGACAAAATCGTAAATATAACAATAACCATCAGCGATTTTTACCCAACATGTTCACAATAAATCAGTTGCAAAGTTAGTTGTCATTACTATCATTTTCACATTTTTGTCCAAAAAACAGAAGAATATCGGACCATTTTACTCATGTAGGTACTAATACAGAACAGTTCTAAGCAAACTAGGTTGTTAACCATTAATTAACTTTATTATTAGCTATAATAATGTTCAGTGATAGTTACAATCAGCCAAAAATAAATTAAAAAAGTTTAATTAATTAATTGGTAATGTTAGGTTTGGGAATTTTTGCTCGAGATAGTTGGCGTTCTGTCATTTTGTCATTTGAGTTATTTGACGTTTAAAAAAAGTTCAGAAATTTTTTAAAAGAAACATTTATCACTGAAAAACTGATAGAAAAGGAAAGCCACTGATCACTTGAAATTCGAGAAATTTGTCTTAGGGCTATAGATAAGTTATTGCCCCCAAAGTCCAAAGATACCGGGTGACTAAATTGAAACAAATTTTTGTGTTGGCAATTCTGAATTATTGGCATTCTTGCTAATACGTCAGTTCGCAATTGTCAGTTTTGATATAAACGTGTTGATTGGTTGAGTCGATGGCAGCTGCCATAAATGTCACTTTGACAATCAGATATGCCATCATAAAAATCAAACATTTCATTTTACATGCCCGACGAGTGGCGGCAACCAACAACATAAAAAAATAGTTAGCAAAAACAGTTTAATAATCCGACTTTTAATGAAACTACCAGTGACTATTAATGATTGAAGCATTTTTTTTTTTTTTGTATTGGTAATTCTAAATTATTGACAGCAATGTTAACGTTTCGGTTCACAGTTTTCAACGTTGAGCGCGCTTAACAAACGTGATGAGAAGATAACTCCTTGAGATAAATCTCATTTTGACAATCAGGTATGCCATCATAAAATTTTAAATATGTTGCCAATCTGACAAAAAAATCACAATCATTAATATAATAAAAATGCTCACTTTTCGGATCAAATTTTGTATAAGTTTCAAGGAAAATTTGAAACAACGGAAAATAACTGAATTGTTAATTTAATTATTTGCCAGAAGAATATATCAAAGAAAGACATACCATGTTTTTTGTTTGTGAAGATGGTAATTGCCGCAGATTTTGTTGACTGTTTATAATAAAAGTAATATATTTGTTGTATCTCAAAACAAAATGTGTACCAATATTTGACATAGAACCAGAAATGTACATAAAATTTAACAAATACATCTGTGCTAAATGCAAGAGATATCAAAAACTTTTACTAGGTTTGGTGACGATGACGAAATCACAAAAAAATGTATATTTACACTCCCATTAAATTATGCTGAGCGTGTTAAGGTACGAACAAAAAAGTGTAATAAATTAACCACTTTCATGTTTCCAGTCATCATCGTTTTTATAATAGAGTAATGTATTTGTATACATATTCTTATCGCCATAGTGGGAAAATTCCCAACAATGGAAACATTATACTCATAAGTGCATACCAAAGTGTAGAGAAAAGTTGGTAATTACTGGGGAGACGTATATTTTGCACTTTTCAGCGTAGTGTTTATTATTAGTGTATGCACAATATAAATATAAATAAATTCTGGAAAAATTATAATTTAAGTTAAAAATTTGCGTTCAAATGGTTTGTCTAAACTTAATGCACATCTAAATTATATTACAAAAATATGATACGTAAATTTTTAATAATAATATGTAATCTGATAAACCAATACAACTCCAAAATTACTCAAAATTTTAATTATTTTTGACATGTTATTGTTGGTTTTCTAGAAATCCTTGCAGCCGAGGCAATCAACATGACAGTCATTCCTAGAAATCACATGTGAAATTGCGTGTCTACGTGCCAGGTTCATATAATTACAGGCGTATAAAAAATGTTCATATTTTTAAATGTCATTTGTGCTCACATAAAATGGTTTTTGTATCTGAAACTAGTATGACTTATTTATTTATCAACAGTCTTTAAAATTAGCAAAAAAGCGTGTACAGGTAAAAATGATAAATGTTCATGTTTCATGTCAAGCCAAAACGATCAATTTTTATTCGGTTTCTAGAAAATATGTTTATTTTTTTCAATAAAATGTTTTTATACAGTTAGTAATTTTTAAGTAATTTGCATTAATTTGAATTGAGTCTACCTTTATTAAATAAAATTGTTGTGTTTTACAATATCCTGAGATACAAGAATATTATTATAAGTGTTTCACAATGGATGAAATAACCAGTCTATAAGCTTCAAATCACGTTTTATAACCAATAGGAACGATAGGTTTTTATTACCAATTTCACGATAATTTCAAAGCTTGCAATTTCCGAATATTCGCTTCCACGGGTTCCAGCAATTATCTGTTTAATAAAATCCCCAAAAGATCACAGAGGGATTTTATTACACGGAAACTGTAGCGTCATTACGTGCTTCACCCATTCTGTATACTCATACGAGGAACACTAATTTCGCCAAATCGGTATAAAAATAAACAACAATAATCGCGTCAATTGTCCTATGAAACTCTCATCAGACTTTACAAATGACGTGAACAATCAAAGGGTAAATTCGCGACCCATAAATTTTCAACAATTTGTTTTTCAGGACCGAGAGAACTCGCACAATCGGAGAATCTAGCCAAATTACAAAATAATCTTTCCATAAGTTTAGCCAATGAGTTACGTCGCACGGAAGGAGAACAAGAGTGGAAAAGCACAATCGACAAGTATCTTGAGCAGCACGAAATTAATCTTCTGGATGCGGTGAGCGCGGGATTTGGGGAGGGTGGAGGCGGCAGCATCTGGACCTACCCAGGGTGCATCCTTTTTGCCGTTTCCCTGTTAACGACACTAGGTGAGTTCAATTATGTATATTACACTGATTTAGAACTAGTGAAACTGCGTCCACAGGTACTAAAATATGAACCAAGGTCTGAAATATGGCTATTGCACAATTTATCTTTATTAAACTTGAAAAACTAGCTTCAATAAATAGGAAATTACTGACGTACAAAGTTTTGCAAATTAATGCAGGCAAAATACATGCCGGTATTATTCATAACCTTCTTGGAATAATAAAGTTTTAGCGTGATAAGTACCACTATTTTTGAATTCTGATCAAAGAACGAACACTGTACAAGTTTGTTTCGAATTATGTAGATTCAACCTCAACACTAAATTGTAGTTGAAATAATGTGTTTTCCCTTGAAGTTATGAATTGTGTGTTATATTCCTGTAGGTACTGAAATAGTCGAACGATGTTAACAAGGCTTCTCAAGGCAAAATTAAGAAAAAGGGATCGATCAAATACAAATAATAACAAGGACGCAAAGAAATAACAAAATAAAATAAATGATGACGAAAATCTAAACGACTTTAAACTTTTAGATACATTTCCAACTAACTAGATTCCATAATTCGACAGTAGCTAGGGGTTACATCGATGCAACACAGTACAATGATCCCTCTCCTTCATAAAAAAGAAATGGAAAATTAATATTTTAGCAAGCGAGGTGTTGGGTGGAGTTTTAAAACCGTGTTTAGACTGTGTCAGTTTTAAAAGAATTATAAATTGCAGAAGTAAATATGAAAGATAAGATAAAAATTGCTCCACTTTCAGGCGCACTGATTTGGTTAACCATGTTTTTACTGTTTAAATGAGGTCTTGCCACGCCCTTGTTATTGGATTTCTTTGTCAACTGCCAATCATTAAAAATATTTAAGCGAAATTGAAAATCAGGCTAATGTTCTTTTGTTTTATTTGATACGACTGCACTTGATTGAGATAAGGACTGATAAAAACTGCCGTATGTTTGCTCTGAATTATTGCAAACAAATTTCTCAGGATCTTTTCCAGTTTTTCAGTTTTAACTTTTTGTGAGAAATGTCTTACAGAAAATCGTTGTTCCTTAAACACATAAACCAAAAGCTTGTGTTTAAGTAATAATTCCCGTTTCCTATAAAACATAGATACACACAACATAAGCAAAACTAGAAATAACAAGTTTCTAATTATATTCTTCAAAAAATATACCACAACGTTCTCTGTTTTAAAATTTTAACATTGCGTGCTGACATCAGTAGCCACTCAAGAAATAGAGGACAAATTGTGAACTGAAATATTTACTATTCCGCATTGGTATTGACCACTGTAAAGACATTGCCCTCGGTAAACAAGCAACTTCTTATTACTGAGTCAAAACATCTCTCGGGATCGTTGCATAAGTGCATAAAAATAGCTAAAAATACTAAAATAGATTTCTGCAACGTGTACTCACTGCATAAAGTGTAAAACTCAAACCAATCGACTGTGAATTATGAAATTCTACTTGATTATTATATCGTATTATTAAAAATTCAGCACAGGTTTAAAAAATGCACGCTTTTGCAGATAACATATCTACAGATAAAAACTTGCACGACAAAAGCTGCCAGCTGTTACGTACTTCAGACACGTTCTTCAACAAACTAACAAAAATTTCATTAATTATGTCAAAACAAAAATTGTACATTTTTAAAAACAGAGATAAAGTACAATCATGTTTGAAATACGCAGTTCTCGCTACACAATTATGTAAATTTTCTTTGTGTGGATAAGTGTGTGCTGTGGCTGATAAAATTAAGTTTCAAATGAGACTCCCACAATAAGGGTCACTCTGATCGCTCGAATGATTTCAAGTTTTAACTTTATTTATATTTCAAACTAAATGATATGAGTTCAACAGCACTTTTTTAAGTCATGACCTGCCAGATTTAAAGATTCGGCACCTTATAAAAAAAAATTAAACAAGCTTTCTATTTAATATTATTCCTGTTATACAATTGTTTTATGAAAATTTATCATAAACAAACCCACCACAATACAGATATAAACTGTTATCTGTTCTGATATTGTCTACCAACAAAAAATTCAATTACTTTTACTGCACTGACATTCTACATTCTTCATATTCTTATCATAAATCAAAATTGTATAACGTCAACAACACAATAATTTTCTATAGAAGTGAAACAACTACAAATAAATCAATTGTAAACGTTAATCAACCTAGTTAACAATTACTTTTCCACGATAATATTTTTTGTTATATATAATAAAAAATGTCCGGAACAAATACAGGCATGTAACAATAGGTTAAGCCATTGTTCTCACTAATGAACGAACACATTTTTAGTACACATACATTGTACTCGCAAGATTAACTGCACTGGTTAATTATTGTCGTCCTATACCAAAGTTCATAACAGAAACACGCTAACTCAGTATTATGCAAATTTAGTAACTGCGTCTACGATTAGAAAGTTGAATTTTCGCGTGTGAAACCAAAAAGATTGTTGTTTTAAAATCGTTTGACGTCAAAGCACCGTTCCAACAGTACGGGATAAAGAAATCGTGAATCTTATGGTCGTCATTTTTTAGTTGAGGACAAATTCTGCAGGCAAATCATTTATCTTCAAGCTATTGATTAAATGATAACCTAACCCAGGGAAAGGTGGAACCAAGTGGACTACAGAAAGCGATATATAATTTTTTGCCGTTTGATCGAAAAATTCCCAGAGCGAGAAGAAAACAACGGAAAACTCTCATTTACAGACGCTTGTAATTAGAAATAATAATAGTACGTTAGAATTCGATACATCCGGGAAAGACTTCGCTATATAACTGCGAGTTCCACCACTACTGAACAGAACACGAGGAACTGCCAAGGACTACGAGTATAAGAACGAAAAACAACAAGCCTGAAAACGTTACACCAAGATGTTACTACATAATTATATGTATGTACTTACGTGAATCGTTCAGTAATTAATAAACGAGGTGTTCATGTTATTGAATATGCTGTAAAAATACAAAATATGTTACTAAACTGTCACATTGCTTATTAATGTTACGATAGATAAGCAGATCCAGGATTACCTAAAAGACTCGACGTTTTTCACAGTCGCAGTTATACGAAAATTTACAACACAGCGTCACAGAGATGTTTATCGCAGATTCCCAAGAGGGTTTATCACAGCGCCTCCGAGGTGTTTATCACAGCGTCCTGGACGTGTTTACCGCAGTGTATCGGTAACCAGCCAGAGGTGTTCATAATCTTAAATCCCTAGGGATTTACCAGTTTGTTGATAATCAGAGCTCTCTGGGGACCTAACCTCTAATAAATTTAGATTATGGTCTGTTCACTCAGCAAAACGCACGGTTCTTGTTGCGTTAAGCAATAAAACGGTGAGATGTATTCTGGTGGATGAAACTACAAGTAAGAACACACAACGCAGTCAAAGTAATCCACAAATCTGTTAACAGGAGAATGTTCTATTTATTTATTAAAATTTTTGCAGCTACGTGATTACAGTTCTTATCTTTTTTATTGATCCAATTTCAATACGGGTTTTTTTTTGTTTGAAATCTGGTTTATTAATCGGGATTCGGGACAGTTGTTAGTAATATTTGATAATAATCACTTCAGCTATTTAAAGATGATTAGCTCATAACACAGTTATTTATTAATGAAGGAATCAGATAGGTAAGACAGCGCGCCGACCGTCGCAGCGAATCTTAACCAATTTCAGACTTTTTAAGGGTTATGTCGGGGGTTTTTAAGTACTAACACCTGTATTACAAGATCTCGTTGTAAAGACAGTTATTAGTTTATTAAGTATTTAGGTATTGTTAACCTGATCTATTATTAACACAGTCATTTACTGATATTAATTATCGCTTAGTTATTAATTAATATTGGTCAATTGTGTAAACAAATACTGCGCTTTCAAGGTTCCCAAACAAATATTCTTACTCGTTTGTTTTGCGTTTTCTGTGTACTTTTTCACATTACAGTGAAAATAAACATCTGACTCTTCTGCAAAAACGTCATTAATGTCCAGATAGTAATAATGAAAATGTAATTACTCATCTGCAAAAAACTTATTCCGAAATTTCGTACTTTAACTGGAAAATATACTGCATTCCACAACAGACAAGAACGAGAACTTCTGGAGGCAAGAGTCGCACTTGAAGATGCACCTCACGAAAGTGGGCGAAACGTCAAAACTCTTTTCAAATGTGGCACATGTGAGGTTAGCTGCAAAAACCATCTCCAGGTTCCAAAAATAAGATCAAATGTTACAAATCGATATAAATATTTGATTACCATAAATTTAAAAACACAAAAAAAGAAATCGTCCTTAAAGTAACTGGATACAAATACAGAAATTATTACGTGTCACAGTAAATTTAAATATGAACAAAACCAAAGACTGCCGGGAGTCCAAATCATAGATCATGGTTACGGGATCAATGGCTCTGGTCTAATTTTCAGCTTTGTGTTGCGAAATTTACAGGTATACATACTGATCCTCGTTGTGTAGGGTCTGTTACAAAATTTACTGCATCATTAGACAATCTGCGTTAAAATCCTCCCTTCTGACATTAACGCTTTTGACCAATGAAATTCAACTCGTTCATTTGTTATTGCTACTTTAATCTGAAACTGATACGCCCGAAGTTATACTGATGATTAAATAAATTACTGAACCTGCAAAGCTAACGAATTTCCGTTACGCCACCCTTTATTAACAATTTCAAACAACAAGAATTTACATGATAAAATCAAAATAATAATTCGAGAATAAATGTTCAAATTCAAGCTGTGAGAAAATAGTTCGGGTGTAAGAAAACATAAAATGCACCCATTTCGAGTCCTTGACGATATTAATTTTACTGATGATAATTTCTAGTGTCCTTTCTCTCAAAATGGATTAACGTTTAAGATTAGTTTAAATGTCAGAAATGAACTATAATCAATCTTTATTGAAAAGTTATGAAGTGTGAATAATGCTATAACTTTAAATAAAAAC